ATTAATTTTTAAACAACTATTATATTTTCTACATATATTGTACAATCAATTACAACCAGAAAAATGTAATCGCTAGACTGTTCAGAACAGGCCCCGAAACGCACGACTCAATTAATTTCGAAATAAATGCAAAACGCTGAGGACAAGCGTAGGTACTTTATTATCAATATATAGTTTTCAAAGTTTACATCGTTCGCTTCTTGTTTTCAACTTTACAATTTCAAATAAATAGTTAATTTCAAAATTCAGCTATAGGAACTACTTGATTTACACTTTAATATATCCCATTGCCACAATTTAAAAATGTGGTGTGATGAGAATGTGGACGGGCAAAATGCAGAGAAAATTATTCTCATTAAAAACGCACGTACTTCTCAAGGAAACGCGGGAGAAGCTTATACGCACATAAAGGGATAGGTTGAGAAGATCATTATAAAAGTAAAAAATGTTTAATTTACGTAAATTTTTGCATATGCATTGTACAGATGTAAGTTCATGAGTTGAATGAGTGGCATGATGGCAAACATAATTATATGCGAGTCCTAACAACTATATTTTTGGACGATGTTCAATAAGTGGAAAATAAACCATTTATATTTACTTTAAATATATTTTTTGTTTGATCTACTAAAAATTAATGTATTATTCCTTTACGCAGCACAAAGGCTAATTTTTTTATTCTGCTTTTTTCTTGCAAATTAGCAAAAATGTAACATATTCGGACGCACTTTAATACAACTATAAGCGAAGTTTAATAAGAAGTAACATTGGCTTACGGCTTTGATTGGCTTTTATACCTACGTTTTGCCTTTGAATCCCCTAGATTCTGAGATGAAAGAATTCCAAATTTCAGTTGTTTTTTGCCTTTAATCCCAGAACTGTTCGCTGAGGATCGTTACGCAATGATCTCTTGAAAAACTTGAAAATTATGATCTCTAAACCACTTTTTGGTCATTTTAGTTGTAAGAGAAAGCGCGTCCTGTTAATTTTGCAATTTTTATTTCAAAAATATTATTACATAGTTGGAATTCAACTTCTTGATAAAATTTGTTGGTACTTTTCTGCATTTACAGTTCCATCAACAAACTCATATTACCAATGCGTTTACTACTCATACATCCTCATATTTAACTTCTTGGAGAAATTTTACTGTACGCTTTAGACATTCTTTATGAAAGGCTTCTGATTTTGTTCATATCACTTTTTCCGAAAATCCCCTACGCATCGTCAAATTTTGATTCATCACTAAAAATAAAGTTACTCCGCATTTCCGTTGTCCAGGATATTTTGGATTTACCTCAATTCAAATATGTTTGCTTGTAGATAGCTGTAAAGAGTGGTTTTTACTTTGCCTAAACCGAAATCAGATAAAAAATAATATTATTTTATATTGAACCCCATAAAATAATAAGCCTTCTTTATAAAAACTGAAGCCCGATTTATGCAGCCATAATCTTCTGCATTCGCACGATACATTTAAAGTTGCGTCCTTTGCAATTTTTTTTGTCATAGTGAAATGAAAAAGTAATACATTAATATATTACTGCATGATAGGGAACTTGCAAGACACTCATTTTTTTAAACTTAACCTTGTGATTATTCAATTATAATTTTGGGCGTCGTCCGAACATATCGTTGTTACGGCTCGTATTTTCAACTATTACATTGCATCTGTGCTTTACATTACAAATCATAGTTAAACTATATTTTTTATATTTTATATTTTAGATGGCTTTTTAAAGAGCACTAAAGAAACCACGAAATCCAGCCTTTCTAGCCTTAAAGATCCAACCCTAGCTGAAATAGATGTTCATAGCATGATTAAGAAATTTGATGAATCCAATAAGATGTCATTGCCTAAACCAAAAGTGATGCCTAGAACTCAACTGAAAAAGTCTTTCGAGTCACCACATAAATCAGAAACTCGTAAACCGCTGGTTCCACCAAGAAGTTTAACGACCAAACTTAGGGGTCGTTTAGATAAGAGTCACAGCACGCCTGCATATGATCTTACAGGTGATCTTACAAGATAATTTACTACTTATTCAAATATTCAAATTAATTGCGTTTTATTATAATTAGGAAAAAATGATAACAAATATCGTAAATTGTGGATCAATTTAAATAAAAATGCTTCACGATTTAGGCGGTTGCCCAAAAATTGTGTTTATTTTGAAGGCAAAAACCTTTTCGGACTTGTGATTATCCATACAAATTCCCATTTTTTATTGCCGCCCAGTAAAAACACATTTTATTAATGTTTTTTAGAAGATGATAACAAACTCGAATCGTCACCAATTAAACCTGAGATATATACCATTGCCAAACTTCCAGATGTAGTTCCCAAAATACCAGAGACAATCACAGAAATCTCAAGCGCTATTACAGCGAAATATAATGCGGAGTTCTTGCCAAAAAGTGTTTCAAATTCCACTACTTCAGATGCAAATATCATAAAAGATCAAAACGATTTAACATCGAACATTTCTGAGGTTTTACCAACTACAATTCAGGAAAAATCCGAAATAACAAATGATGAACTTTTGAATCAGTTAAGTGAGGATATTGAATCCAGTAAAGATGTTACAGTGGCTGCAGACCTGGCAGCAGAAGTTAGTGTGGAAGAGCTACCTCCAAAACCGCCACCAAGAAAATCTTTTGATACTTCAAAACCAGCTTATCCAGCAGACAGTCCAAAACCAACCATTTTGCCTGAAACTCCAAAAGGGCTTCAAGGAAGTTCTATTAAAAAAACTTTTGAGTTCCCTGACACCAGCGCAGATTCAAACAAGATGGGTAGTACTCAAAGCATAAAATCTATCGACTCCAACGATTACTTGGTGCCAGTTCAGATAAAACATGTTGATCAGCATTTGTTTGATCCTGATATTTCGTCAACTCCATTACAAAAATATAAGATGGATCACAGTGAAACTGAAAGCAGCATTTACAAGTCTGGTGTGAGTTATGATGTTCATAAACTTTCTAAAGAAAGCAAAGTATCTCCTACAAATAGCATAGTGAAAGCAATGATAAATAAAGGAAAATCTGCCAAAAAGAAGAGTAATTTGAGCGCAAGTAAGTAACTTTTGCACAGTAAAACATTTATTATGGTAATATGTTTATATGAAGCAAGTTTCGCAAGTGTGGATCTTTATTCGCTCAATGGACGCAATTTCTTTTTCAGAGCGAAGAAAAGTTACCGTAAATGATTTAAGTCCAGCAGATATTCAAGGATACTTGTATCAGAGATTACGGAACAGACAAACACAAAATGTGCATTGGGAACGAAGGTGGTTTGTCCTTTTGGGAAGCTGCCTGTATGGGTTTAAAAACAAGGACGATCCTCGGGCAGCCACTCTTATTTTCCTGCATGACTTTACAGTGGCAGTTGCGAGTGAGGTACGATTTGCTGGCAATACAATTGTTGAAAACTGGTTTAAATTTATATGATTTATTTAATTCTTCAACAGCGTAATTTCAAAATTTACCACATTTCTCGAGAGCTGTGTTCTGGGAGAAATAATTCTCCTAAAAAACTGATATATTCACCAAAGACTAACTCAGAAATTTTGCATCATGATATTTGATTGCACCTGCAAGAAACGTGTTCTCATTAACTTTAATCATAATTCTCAACTTAGGTTGACGACTTAAATTTTCAGAGAAATGGTGTAAATTCTGCATATCAATGCGATGTTGAATCAATGTGTGACCGCTTTTTCTCTGTCAATAAATTCTCAAAATTTCATTGTTTTTATGCCTTTGGATACTTTCTATAATATTGCCACTATAGTAGGGCGTTCACATTGGATCTGTTATTTTTTTTAGGTAAAATCTCGCTCGAACGCATTCAAAGTATATCATACGGGAACAGTTTTCTATTTTTCTACCGAAGATTCTGAGGCACTCCAAACTTGGCTTGATTTGATCCGGACTGCTTGTTTGCCATACGAGTCGGGTTCTAAAGTTGTTGGAGGAAGACCGTATTCAGAAACCGATGATTCTGATTCGGATAAATCTAGAGTACGAGAACAAGAAAAGTCGGAGCCTTTAAAAAAATTTGGATCTTTGAAAAAACTTGGCTTGAAAAAGAATCCAGATGTTGGTCATACTGGAAGCACCAGTTTAGATAGAAAGTGGTTCTTTAACAAGTCTAGTGGGAATTCCAAAAGTAATGTACCTGTACCAACGGCGCAATTTAGGTCCTACAGGTATGATGATTTCATGACTTACATTTTTGGTAACGCATCAAAAAATAACAATCAGCAGTAAACTATTGCATCAATCTTTTGATTAGTTTTTTTTCCAGAAAAATACGTAACGAACCTACTCATGCTAGTGTCCGAACTGGCAATTTCACATCTCATGTGCCCATGTTTGGTCCATCAAATCTCACTCAAGCACAGAACAGTAGCGTTCCAAATCTCACAGTGGAGCAAATTATTCGAACATCAATTGATAGTCCGAAAATCCAGTTGAAACCAACTGGCTACATACATGCAAGTAATCCAAGTCTAGCCAGCAGCCTAAATATCAGTGAATGTGGTTCAAGCAGTAAATTAGCTAAAGATAAAAACGACAGCGATAGTTTGAGTGGTTTCGTTACATTGAAAGAATTAATGATGAGACAATCTGAGGAAAGCCGGAACAATCCTCATCACGAAATTGAACAAATGCAGATTAATTTAAACATGATTAAGTCTGATGTTGTTTACGGTAAGGAATTTTAATGCCACAAAACAATTAATAGATACTTCTTTTGAATCATTAACGATTTAGCTGAATTTAGTCGTAGCATATGCAGGGTGTTTTCTCATAAGTTGACACCATTCCTAGATCGTTTATTTTTAAAAAATTGTGAAAGTACCAACACAAAAGTAGCTTAATTTAACTATTTTTTTTAAATCTGAATTTAAAATAAAAATATAAAATACGAAAATGTCCAAATTTTACATAGTCGTTTTTTAAATGAAACACCTTAGGTACTTTTAGACAGGTCGATTGGATTTATTTTCCTGATTTCAGCAATATACATATATATATATATTGCCTAGATTTGAATTAGCCGTTTTTTCTGTATTACTTTTAAATAGCAACCAATTAAAGTAGCCTGAAATGAAACATATAACTATAGAAAGAGAGCATAACGAAATTTATATGACCTCTATTTAACGTTAGATATGCTCTACAAACTACTTCAATTTTATCTATAACGTTTTGAATATATTGGTTATGATTAATATTAATATCGTTAATTGAATCCACTATTTTAAGGCGTCTAACTAGAGTCTCATACAGAATATTATTTAAATGACCCCAGAGAAAAGAATCAAGAGGCGTTAGGTCGGGGCTGTTGGGAGGCCATTTGATAGGACCCGCTCGTCCAATCCAGATATCAACATTTTAAATTAATGCCATAAAAGGAATAATGCTCTCTTCATTTTAATAACGCGAAATTATGTCACCTGCAGGACTTTTYACGATTACATTTTTCGCGATTTTCTGACAGTTTCTTTTCGTAATTAAATATTATTAAGTCGAAACTGAAATTTGGTTCGTTTGGTATGCGACCGATTTTCATTRCACCGAATTTAACTACTRAACTGACGATATCGAGAGATTCGTATAAACASGTGAAAAAGCGCATTAATTGTTTATACTAAATACTATTAGAAGAATGTCAGAAGAATKAATTTTTGTTGTGCAATAAAAACGCAACTATTTTTTTTCAGTTTGCTTCCTTTGCTAAGAAAATATTTTGAATGCGTTATTCTAGTATTATTTAAGATTAAATGCACTAGAAGTTATATGTCCTTTCAATTTAAAAAACAAACAACAAAGATTTCATATTCGAGGAGAGAGGTCCGAATAATTTTGTATATTTTAAGTAAAGGAAAGTAACTCTAATGAAATGTTGAATAACAACCGGCTTAAATTATTAAATTCCTTTTCTTTCATGGATATTTCATCTTCATAAAACTTGTTATTAATTATTTAAGGTGAAGTACCAATAAGACCAACTTCGAAATTATCCACTTCTGACGAGTACTCGGAAGTTTTCTCAACACCGCCGTTAAGCCGATCCGTTTCACAATCTGAAAAGCACGAATCTACCAGTTCTTGTTTCGGTAAACGACTTGGTTCCTTAAAAAGAAATCAGAAGCACGAAAATGTAGACCCTAAAACGGCCACTTATCCCAAGATTTTGAAAGGGCTTGAAAGCAAGTCGAATCGAAGTTTGCCTAGGACTCTAAAAATGCAGGAAACTACAAGGTTAGTGTGGCGAAATGTCCCAGCAATGTGTATTGACTTACATTAAATTTTTTTAGGGAATGTGAAGAATATACTATGTCGAAAATTCATTGCGCATCAGATAAAAATATTCTATCAAGTTTTGCTAAAAAGTCGTATGAAATGATTTACTGTCCCGAAACAGTAAACGAAATTCAGTTTGCTCAAAATCGTGTTTTGGATGACGGAATGAGCTCTGAAACTGCCAAAAAATCGTGTAAGATGAAGCGCCAGCCGAGTTTTGGACTATCGGAGAAGCAAAGCTCAAAATCTTTACCTGGATTTACTAGTAAAGTTGGTGACTCTTCAAGGTATATAAAATGTTTCTGAATAAGTTAATAATTATTTACGTAAAATAGGATATGAATCGTATTCGCATGCATCTGAAAATTTCTGTGTACACACATAAGCGCGTTAATAAATAACATCGTAAGTATAAAATACAATACTTTATCTACAACTGTAACGATTATGATGATTAACAATTGAACAGAAGAAATAAACTGTATTACGGTATTACTTTAGCAACTCGCATAGGTATGACTGCCACTAAATAACTTTTGTCAATCATTGCTTAAGTTGTCTGAAAATTACACACTTTCAAATGAGTTCAAATAATTTTCTGCGATCTCATATTGAAAACGACTATTTTATGTTGTGTCAACTAAACAAATACATGGAATGGTTTTAATTGAAAATATATTATTTAAAATGTATTTTCAATATTAATGTCAACCCGCTAGTGCGCTGATAAATTCGAATAACACTAGTACGGTAATAAAGATTATTATGATATATCGAAGAGCGTCAAATCATGGTGAGTTGTAGATAAAGTATTTGACTTATTTCATATACAGTTTGAGTCAGTTTATAGAACCAGGACTTTAACATTTTGTTTTATTTAATTTTAATAATTTACGCAAATCTGAAGAAGTTATCTGAAGCTATCTGAAGAAGAATACTGTAATAAAATTAAATATTCTAGGACTTATCGAAATACCATTTCCGTCACTCCAATAATATCCAAGTTTTCGCTACACTTACTGAGGGTACTACAGGGATTTACCTAAATTTAATATTAATTTTTTTTTTAATATTATTGTCTTTCTTGTGTCTACCTGTATCAATTTGATTTTGAAATAAATTTTTCATATTTACGTAAGAAAGGTTTTCTTGTTTGATGTCGCTAACAATAACTGTTTTCGATATTTTTTCTTAAAACTGTTAAAATGCAAATTAATCACGACAAAGTATCACATTTGAATTAAACAATTTTAGATTTCCAAAGTAATTTTTCAATGATTGAATGTGGTATTGCAATGAGTCCTAGAATATGGAATTTTATTTCAGTATCTTAAGTTTTGCGTGAATGATTAAAAAATAATAAAATAAAATAATAACTTTGCCACCCTGTACCTCAAAAACTAAGCCGTTTTCAATATATGTTTGTATGATATTTGCATCTTAAAACTGGATTTTCTACCGACCGTTAAAGTGTTGCTACTATAAACTGACTCACCCTGTATAGATTATTGCAACTTTACTTAACTTTACTTTGAAGGGGTCGCTTAAAACCAGCTTTTCAATATACACCAGTAACTGTGCCAATAAACCGAGAAAGCAAATCGATGCCAAGGTTTACATTTGAGTTGAATTTGGACGAGAAGCAATCAAAAAGTGGCGGAAAATTGACGAAGATCTTTAGTGGAAAATCCGAGAAAAAGGAAAAAACATTTTTAGGCTCGCCCAAGTTGCACAGAGCTCTTTTTAGAAAACAACATTCTGTACCTGAGTCTGGATGGAGGCCAACGGCACAAGTAAGTACCATGAGAACATACAGGGTGATTCACGGTCGATGGCGCATTAGACGTTTAAAGAGAACCAGACAAACGATCTTTCTGCAAATTTGAACAACGAAGTCATCGGATATGCTCTATCGGTCGAAAATATTTTGAGCCTTAGTCTATCTAAAGCGGTTTTCAAAATATTAAATAAAATTCATTGCTTTTAATCAAAACATACCCCCAAGGAATCTTGTATTAAAACGCGATTTCGATCTTTTGAAATTTAAAATTTTGGTACTGGGTTAAGAAAACCCTATGTTTGAGCCCGGCGTAATTTGGAACAAATTGCTGTATTCGAGGCTCAAGCATAGGTCTTTCCTAAACCAGTATTTTTTTTTAATTTTCAGAAATCGAAATAGCGAAAAAAATTGACTGTTTTTTCTTTATTTGATGTATCTAACATTGTAATTCACTTTGATAGCCAATGTTTGAGATTCCAAGTTCCGCATCCCGTGATTATCAAGCACATTCAGCAGTGCAACAGAGTCATTCGGTTTCTCTCAAACAGCATGTGGACTACCCAGGACTCGAATATCCTCCGGTGTTTGAGCCGGAAACATATTCCTTAGCGGATCCACAAAGCAGTCTCAATTTGTTACGCGGGAAACATAAAAAAGAATGTAACGATGATGAAAAAACCTCTGATAAGGACAATAATTAATGCTGTTAATACTTCTAGATATATAAAATAACTTGGTAGTTGAAAAGCAATTCGTTTGAACACGCTGAGTGTCGCATTGGCATCATTATTTTGTTTTGCGATGTATGTTGGTATGATTTTTAATATGTCAAAAGTATGTTACTGATAGCGATTATGGTATTGCTATAACGATTACTTACTAACTTAAGGACTCGTTTTTATCACTTTAATTATAAGCGGAAGTAAAATATCGCTAATCGGTTTGTTTCCTCATAAACGGTATATTGACATATTTAAACATTTAATTTTTGATATACTGTTTGGGTTCCAAACGCTTTACCAATTTAAGAAAATTTTATACTAAAACGAAAACAAAGCCGTAAACATGAAAAATATGTACGTTTAAAGATATATACTTATAGTCCGATTAGATTTTTTCTAGGCACTAAATGGATGAAAGTAAAAGATTATTGGAACTTGTTCGGAAGGATGGCCAATATTCTGAGGACAATACTTTGCACGCAATTACCGCTTGTGAGACATTGTTCAAATAATCCAGAAAAGTGCAGAAAACCGTTTTTTGCGCATTACTTTTGAACCGTTGATGCAATTTAAGTTTAATATTTTTTAAGCATTAAAAATACCTACAAAATAAGATTAACCCTATAACTATTAACAATAACTAACTAAATTAAAATCCGTAAAAAGCGGCTAAACTGATTAAAATTAAAAGATTAAGTTGAAAATCAGGAATTTTTTAGGTTGAAAGTTAAGTTAAATTATTTTCAGATTAAATTTCCACATCGATTACTTAATTGCTATGATTTTATGCGTTTAATGATTGCTGATAGCAAATTAAGTAATCGATGTGGAAATTTTATCTGAAGCTAACTTGCTTTTAAACTTTTAACGTAAGAAATTCCTGATTTTTAACTTGTCAATGTTACAAAGATCTTCCAAAAAAGTTATAGTACGATTTTTTAGAAGCAAAACAATTAATTATAGACAATTTAAAAAACGCAAAAACTGCTTTTTTAGTTTTTGTTTTTAAAAACAAATAAACGGATATTGAGATATTTTTGATGCTTGAAAAAAACTGTTAAACTTTATTATTTTGCCATCCTTCCGAACAACTTCTAATAATCGTTTACCTTCATCCATTTAGTGCCCGAAACCGGCCTAATCTGACTAGACTATAAGTAAAATAAATTTTGATTCGATGAAAAATGTAAAGTAATTTACCTACGCTAAGGCATTTAGCTACTTTGGTAGTGCACATCGTGTGCAGATCGACGTTTTTACCCATTTACTACTTTTTATTTATGTATGTATGTATTAAGTCTATCGGAACTGAGGGTGTGAGCCTCCAGTTTTCTTGGGTGCACCGTGTTATAAAATACTTGTCTAGCCAGGGGATTAGAATGCATTCATTATTCATTAGTGCATTCAAAAATGCAATAACAAAGTAAAAATACGCCACTTGCCCGCCATATCTTTTAGAATATAAAGCGCGATCAGTTTTAGAACCCAAAATACATAGGCACTACTTGCTAGAACGCTTCCAACACTTTTGTAAACATAAAAATAAGATGTTAGATGATCGGAAATTTGAAGATTTTTTAAGCAACTCGAAGCAGTTTAGAAGGGTCATACTCGCTAGACTCTTTAAAAGGATCTTTGTGTAACTTTTTCAAGTCACATGTTAAGTGCGAAATCCTCAGCCAAATATACCGCTTTGAAATTAATTCTAACTACATATTAATTACCCGAAGGTGCAATTGCACTGATTGCGTGAGAACTTAAGAAACGACGACACTCAGCGTGTGATGACATTTTACTTTTATGCTATTATTTATATAAAAAATAATTTCAATCAGAAAAAAAAAGAAAATCAATATTCCTTATGAGCAGTTCCTTGACAATAGATTGTTTTTGATATATACTTCACATTTTATATTAAGTGCCTAAGCCTATATTTTAATATTTTGATTGATACGAAATATATTATTAGATAAGTAGTTTGTTATTTCTTACAAAAATAGTTTATCGTTGAATGTATGCTTTGAAATATTATTTATACGTTGCTATGTAGTCAATATATTGATGATTCAAAATTAAATTTAAATGAGCGTACAACCAGCCAATCATAACTCACTATTTAATTAATTAGATAACAATACATTCCTTACTTAATTATATGGACTTACGTACAAGGAGGCGCATTGGAAACCAAACAATTCTAAAACTCACAGGAAAATAACTTTCGACCCAAGAAAACAATCGTTTTTAGTTGGCTTTAAACATCTTTTAAGGTAGCTAATATCAGCCGAGAATATAATTGTCGATCTCATCGAAAAGGTTTGTTTAGCTATTAAGTCTGTTTGGTTTTGATTGGGAAATAGCAAACAAACTGTTTTTAATAAACGGCTGTCCTGCCAATTCATAAAATGAATAATATATTGCATTCTTCAGGAAATAAACTTTGCAACGATGGGCCACATATGTTCTGGTAAAATTTAAAAAATTAGAAAAGGTGGTTGTGATAACTAAAGGACAGAAATTCGTTGTAATGTAAAATACCGTCCATGTTGCTTGTTTCAACCAAAATATTGTTTTGAAAGGTGGTTACTTGTCGTTTCAATACACTTTATATTTTAAAAAAAATTAATACATATATTTATTTTTGAAAGTAATGTGTAGGTAGTTGAATTATATTATTTTGTAAAAATGATTAATTTATTTCTTTAGGAGTCGAAAATATTGAGATCCTGTCAGATGACTTCTGAAAAGGTAATTTCAACAATGATTTGCAATTTATTTACGGTGCTTCTTCAGAAAAGTAATGTTTTAAACCAGAGAGCTGCTTCCACTACATCTGAATGTTGTTGCAAGCTTATTTATATTTAATTTTGTATACCTAAAATTTATACACCATACTGTTATTTTTATAATGTGAATTTACATCTTTTTAGCCATTTTACATATATAAATAATTATTTACTTGGTGGTTTCTCACTCAGAAATATATTAGTGCCAATGCATCATTTATATTACTCAACTTTTTAATACTATTTATAATTAATCATTGCGCTTAAAAATACAGGATGAGTCATTTATAAAAGGACTAATACCGCTAATAGCAGGGCTGAATGGTTAAAATAGTTAAACTATGTGAATGTTTCCGATAAAATCGAAATATGTTGCACAAATGTTTTTTCTTATATGGAAATAACTGAAAAATGTTGAATAAATACAAATACTAACTAGCTAGCTGCAGGTAATTAATTATTGTACTATAATAAATGACTCGTCTTTGATGTTTTTCTCACTGAATGTTCTTTGTTATTGGTTTTGACTTCAAGTCTAGCGAAACTGTTATTTAAAACCTAATATATTATTGCCTATACTTCACAGTATTACCTTAACTCCATATATATTTTAGGTAATAATTTTATTATTAGGTTTATATTATTTTAAATTATTCTAATATGTATATGCTATGTAATAGTGGCAAAACAGAATATATGTTTACTTATATTTTTTGGATTATACATGTTTTGTGTTTTATTTGTGGCAAAATCAATTGCAAAAAAGCAAGTTTCTACCTTTAAACCTTATCATTTCATATTTAATGAACAGAGTAGCGGTTGAACCTAAACATGAGCGCTGCAGTACTGCAGAGCTTCTAAAAAACAATAGAACTTATAAGAAAAATAAAGAAATACTTGCACCAGTCGGAGCTGCTCCTGAAGCAAGTTTCCTTTGCGGAAAACAATCCAGTTTGACGAAATCTTTTCACTACTTTGGAGTTTTAAATATTTATGTGTTACTCACCGGCAATTATATTCTTAAAAAATTGCAGAAACCATGATATTGCCGGTAATATATGCAGGTAGATTAAGAGAGAATAAAGGATTTTTGCATAAAGTTTACCTTCTTTGTGGATACGAAAGGTGCGTGAAGCAGTCATTTGTTTATTATAAACGAATTGATTCTTCTGAGAAAGTGAGAGTAACCGCTAGTGAACATCTGATGTCATACTGAAGGCATTACTCAAGCAAATATTAAGCCTTAATTTGGTAGAAATAAGCATGTACACCCTAGGCATTGACAACATAGTGAATTTCGAGGTGTTTACGCAATGATACCGATACCGTGTCAGCGCAATTCATAATACAGTAGACCCATGACTCAAGCACATTTTATGAACTGGTAATCCGAAATCTGCTGTCATAAATGTGGTTAAAATGTTAAGTGTCATGCATGGTGTTGGTCCGTGAAGCGCGAGGTTTCTCAACACCGTGACACCCAGAGCGGTATTAAGACAAATGCGCCACATAACACAGTGTTTTCCATGCTTAGTATACCCGACATAGAAAATCACTTTAAAGTTTTGACCAAACCTAGTATTTAATAATATTTTTCTACTAGTTTTTAGCATTTGTCACCGAGGAACTTTCCTTAAATATTGATAATAATAACTCTTCATGTTAATATTATGCTTACATGAATCGTAAACCAGTATAAAGAAGAAATATAGAAAGTATTCGAATATTTACTTAAACAAAGTAGATTTAAAATAAAAACCTAAACATACAGCATTAAATCGCATTGTACATGAATGTAAGTACTTCAAGATCATACTGTTGGAAATCATGATATATTTCATTTTGAAGATGAAAAATTCACTTTTCTTTGTAATGGAACGAAAAATAATCAAATTATTTTATTGATTCTATGCTGTCGATCATTAGTGCTCTTGACCCAAAATTCGCACACACCACACCTTATCTTTTAAATATTAAATTTAGAACAAAATACTTCTAAGCTGTATGGTTCTAATTGTACAATTACAAGAAGTTATTATTTGTTAGCCTTTAAATATTTTTGGCAATCGAGGCTTTAAACTTTAAATTGCTTCTTACACATGAAATTAGCACATGCAACTTTTTCTATTAGGGTAAGTCTATGAACTCGATTGCCGTATCCTGTTCAAAAAACTGTTCTTAGATGAAATTAAAGAAAATACCATTATTTTTTCTAACAAATAATTTCAGATTTATGCCTATTGGAAAAGTTTGTCCCGTTTTTCTGCATCACAAAAATTATTTTGACGTTTTTTGTTATTTTGCTCTTTAATTGTGATGTTAATTGAAGGACTAGTATAACATTACAATTACATGGCATTATGAGGTGCCTCCAATATTATTCAAATTTAAGACGAAATCGCAAAGATCATAAACTAAATTCAAATTTCCCGCTAAATTTTGATCAGCCCAATCAGTAAAGAAGTTTTCTTCTGTAAGCAATTCGAGTCTAGTTTCGAAAGCAGCCGCTGGGAACAAGAGACTAATAGCATTCTACAATTTATAACCTCTGGGATCTGTGGTTTTAATGTCACATGTCACCGCTTGACGTTAGGATTTTTGTGTTGTTCGTCGATAACTACAATCGTTGCGAAAAAAATGGTAAATAAATTAAGGAATTTAAGGCAACAGTTTACCTAAATGGCATTTTTAATAGTCTTTTCAGGACAAAATTTCCGCACTAATGGTCAGACCGGGCCAAGATCCGGTGTCTAAAGATGAAATACCCTGGTGGTTAAAATTTGCTGGCAGGGGGCTGGGAACAGTAGGTGGAATCCGTAAGTGCAAGATATCAAACATTGTGATCTGTTAAATCTTCAAATGTTTGGATCAACAACAAAGTGATCATTATATGCGTAAAGGCATTGTTCAGTTTGACGACATACGCAAACAAAAATAAACTTATTAAATTCAGAGATAATTTCGTGGCCTTTTCAAGATTAATTGAATTAGTTGTCTTGGGGATTCCGTCTGGACAGTGGCAAGAAAATAGAGATTACAGATAGAAAAGACGAAAATAAAAGAATTGATTTTTTACCTTTATCAGTGCTAAAAACATTATAAACTGAGCTATGGAGCTTTGAGAACGGATGAAATATTAAACAGATATAATAAAAGGTACTTGCTGCATATTGTACACTCTCGAAAGTATGAGAACCGTCTAGAATTTAATCTAAATTGTAACACTATAGCGATATACGGGGTGTTCGAAGACTGCGTTAAGAAATTTTTAAGGGCGATTCTACATGCTGAAATAATGGTAGTAAATCATGCAGCAAAAATCCAAAATTTTAATATTGCTGCTGCTCATTAAGTTAAATTTTTGTTCTTTAATTTTTGACATATTCCGGACATTTCTTGGCGGCTTAAATCGAAAATCGGAACAAAGTTTTAGCTTAGTGTGTTTCTGCATTAGATGGCACTTTACGTAGAATAAAAATTTTGTTTTCTGCATATCTTTTTTGACACGTCAAATATTGCAAAAAGGAATATGCGCTTGTAAAGATTAGAAAATATTAGACAAAACGTGCTCTTCACACGACTCGAAAAGCCTCTTCAAAGTTTTAATCACTCTCAAGCTTAATATTTAATTGGAATCGTAGCAAATCCAGTCATAAGTTTCATTTTTAACGCAATTATGCCAACCAGCAAAACTTTCTCTAAAATCTAAAATTATGTAGCATACTTTAAGAAATTAATAAAACACTAGTAAAAAAATAAAACATTATAACGTATTTTCAAAATATTCTCCGTTCATTGCAATACATTTCGGAACTTTTGAGAAAATGTCTTCAATGTAATTTATTTTTTTTATCGCGAATCATTAATATTATCTACCTTTCACTAGTTCATGGAATTAGTATCTGGCGAAGGTAAAGGTCCGTTTACAATCCACTTACGCTACAATCCACCTATTCGGCAATGCATTTTTGAGGGGCCTCGTAAAGCATTAATTCGCAATCTGCCCTTAGGTTAAATGATAACCGTAATTCTTAAGTGGGGCGCAGTGAGACGCGATGAGTGCGACTCATTAGCGCACAGATACGCAACAACACAAAAGCGAACCTCAATATAGTGTTAGGACACCGGCAGACGACGCGAGAGTTTGGACGCTAAAAATGTAACTCATTATTTTAAATACAGTCGCGCACTCGAGCGACTTTTTGTAGCTGCTATTAGTGACTGCGGGCGATAGTCGCCGAAGATGGAACTTGTTTCATTGTCAAGGTTAGACGCAGCGTCTAAAAGACGCTAGCGATTGTCGTTTTGTACCGAACTCACAGGACTCGAAAAAAGGAGGAAAAACTTAAAACTGGAACCTAAGCTTCCAAGGCTGAAGCGGTTCTTAAGAGAAAAGCTTCAGATGAACCTGGTGTAAAAATACGAAGCCGCCCAAAATATTCCCAAAGTTTAAAAATTAACTACGAAAGAACCAATACCAAATCCACACTACAAGTTAGTTGATGAATATGGAGCTAAAAGTTCTACATCTACATGTAACCAAGGGCAAACTAATGCTAAACTTACCGAAATCTGCGTAGTGCCACCTAGAAAGAAAGAAGAAAATGTCTTTAGTACAGCAGGAACTATGTCCAAAGTCAAACTTATTTGCAATTAGCAAAGCAAAGATAGAGAAATATAAAGAATCCATAAAACTTCAGTTGCTTGACGGAAAACTAAACTCAGTTCAAGCTAAAGGATTTATAGTTTAGAGATCGTTCTTACTAGCTTTCTGCAAGCTGGCGCCCCATTCGTCAATTTCTATCCATTAATCTTCAAAAAGTTCACAAGTGTACACTTAGGACACACGGATTCTACAGGGTTTTTCACGCTATACGGCACGGAAGTTTGCTGCTAAACCGTTTGATTAAAAAGTATTATTTTATGAATTGGCAGACGCCTGCCGGGCGCACATTATAAAAATATCTTTGTAATGTAATACCATTCGATAGGTAATTAAAAATTGCATTTCCTGGTAAGTTAAAAATATGGGGTTGTATTTAAATTAATCAAGTTATAGCCACTTAAGTTCTTATCTGATTAATTTAAATTTGTGGACATCCCGTATGCCATGGTAAGTTTATTATCAATGGTTTGACTGTATCAAAGTATTTGACACATGAAAATTAGATCAGATTTTGATAAAATTTGGATTATTTAAAAAACCTTAAGATTTAGGTACCTATTATAAACTTTATTAAAAACACAATTTTGCAAAACACTTATTTTGCTGAGATAATCCAAAAATGCAATAACATATAGAGTATTTCATTATAAAAACACAACTTTGATACTTTTAGGGCTTTTGGGACAACCTGTACATTACAAAAATATTTTGAGAATGTGCGCCCGGTAGGCGTTTTCCAATTCATAAAATAATACGTTATAAAAATCAAACTGTTTAGTCGCAAACTTCCGTGCCGTTTAGCGTGAATAACCCTGTACATTTCCCATCTAAGAACGCGATTCACACGACACAAAGGACTATCGACCGGTTTCGTCGGCACTATCGACCGGTTTCGTCGGCACTATCGACCATATAATCGTTTGCTCGTTTGCCCTTTCGATGATTCATTTCTTTATTTGGCAGTTCGATTTCAGTTTGTTTATTGTTGACATTTTTGTGGAAAGTGCGTGTTCGCATGGCAATATTTCCAAAGACAAATTTCCCGTTCCAACTTACGAAAGTCAACAACTAAACGGAAAAACTCCAAACGCCCATCTTTCACTAACTTAATGTTACATTGTAGGCCATTTATATTTGTCTGAATTTCATTCAACTGCAGGAGTAAATGCGGAACGCTAAAACTAAAATTAATAAGCGAATTAATTTTGTTTTTCTAAAATATTGCCTGAACAAAAAACTGCGAGGAAATCGCTTACAAATGAAACTGTTGCTCAACTTCCGAGCGATGATAGAAACCAACGAAATTTCATTCTTATCACTTTCTTATTCACATTCTTATTTTAAGAATTATTCAAAATGAGTTATGATCATTTTCGCTCTTTTTGTATTAAATTTATTTCAATCTCTTCTGGCTCATTGCTTTATCTGCTAGCCGCAGATCTCATGCCTTAATTAGCCAAAATGTGCCTATTTCCAAATAAAGTTTGCCCTTTTCGATTAATTTTCTAATTTCGCCTGTATCCACTAAAAGAGCCATCCGAAACAAATTCACACTAGCTGACTGTTTGCCTGACAGAAAATACTTTTCTATAGAGAAACAGTGATGTGGCAATTTTCTTTTTTTTAGGTGCTAAAATAAAGTTTGTATGATGTATGATGTTATTTAATCTTTCTAGCCCTTATGAAGAAAAAATACATTACCGAAAGCTTGGTGGCTGAAAAGCGTTTCTATTTTCGTACCACTGCCAAGACCCAGTCTCTATGACAAAAACAAATATAATACCCAGCAATTAAATAAATGTGCAGTTATTTTGTTTTTCTTTTCTAGTTGCCGTTTTCCTGGGAGTGTGGAGTTGTCTTGGTATACTCGTAGTCAACGTAAGCGCTCTAATTGCGGGAATGTTGCAAGTAGTGGTTGGTTTCATAGTCTTATGTGTTGAGGCTCCATGCTGTTGCATGTTTGTCGAAAACGTGCAAAGAATGAGCGATTTTGTGGATTCGAGGCCTTTTTGGAACAGAGCTGCAGGATATGTGGTGTAAGTACAGTTTAATACACTAAAGATGTTCCTGTCAGCTTATATGAGTTTTTATCTCGAGATTTTAAGTTAGTTGGAAAAAGTATTAAACTTAAATTACATCGACAGTTCAAAAGTTATGCGCCAAAAACGGGTTTTCGCACTTTCCTTGATTATTTAAGCAATGTTCCACAGCCGGATATTGTCTATACTACACTATTGGGGCACCATTGTCCCAATATTTTGACTTCGTTCCGAATAACTTCCAATAATCTTTTACCTTCATTCATTTAGCGCCCGAAACAAGTCTAATCTGACTGGTCTATTAAGAATTGTATTTTGTATTTGTAAAGTCTGTTCTCTTCTCTTCTCTCTTGTATTAGTATGATATTAGTAGCTCTATTTCGTGAGAACCTACATTAAGTTTAAAGATTTGTCTAACTTTGAACTATTTTACTTCAAGCCTTGCGATACCACCAATTATAATTGAACCCTCAGTTACCATTATTTTGGGAAGTGGACTAATTTTTGGAACTGGTGTCCTTTATGGAATGATGGCTTTGGGAAAGAAGTAAGTACACACCTTTTAAATTCTTGTATGATGTTGATGATAATAATTCCTCGTTTCAATGGATTTATTATATATTTTTAATCACACGTATCATTATTATTTTGATGTAACCCATTTGCAAAAAAATGTAAGTAACCGAACTAAAACGCTTTTCAGTGTTGCAAGTTGTGGTTGAAAACCGTAACTAAATGTTAAACTTAATTAATTGGAGAACATTTTACATAAAATAATTTTTAAAATATTGGTATATATTTATTAGGTGACGTTTGTTGTCGATTTACTCCGATGATTCTAACTTCACCATCCTCAACCTCTCGTAGAACCAGTTTCGAATTTATTAGTTGCCGTCTGAGTTTAACTTCTAACATACGCGTTTCGCCTGCGTCTTCAGAATGTCACCTAAAGCCATAAATAAAGCAACTTTTTCTTTCTTCGCTTTTATTCTTCAGGCCTTCTGCTAAGCAATATTTATTTTATTTAACGGTAGTTAAAAATTTATCTTCCTTAAACAGATTTAAGCTTTATGCGTTATTATATTCTGATCTTTCCTGGGTCTCAGTCAAAGTGTGAAGTAAACATTTTGAATATCGTTTATTTCATTACGTTTCGGCGAGACAACGGCGTCTTCATCAGATTTAAAATTTACACAAGCTACAAACACCGCATTAAATTCACAATTTTCAAAATTCACAAATTTAATTCACAATTAAAACATGTTGTATAAAAACTATAATTTATAAAGTGTTAAAACATTTATCAGTTCTTGAGGGAAAAAAGTCTTTCTTTTGGGAGAGCAAAACATTTGAAAAACTTATCTCATGATTGGTAAATATTAACGTTCTTTTAGGTCTTTGCCTTCTTGAAACCTTAAATTTATCTGAATTATTTTCCAGATTTGCGAGAATGGATGTATGTATTGAGATAAGCAGAAATAGTTTTATATTTTCACTAGTGCACTGGGTGTTCTATACTTATGGCTTTATTAGGGTTTTGGAAAATGTTGCTAAGGTTGTCGGTATCTGATCTGAAATTTACTGCTTTTGCAAAAATATGCATTATTTGTATCATTTCTTGGATTCTTCTTTTATGATAATTTGTGTAATTTTTTATGATAATTTGTTTCAAACAGATACCAACAACAGTAGCAACATTTACCAAAGCCTAATAAAGCCATAAGTATATAACACCTAGTAAACTAGTGAAAAATTAAAACTATTTCTGCTTATCTCAATACATACCACTCTCGCAAATGTACAAAATAATTCAGACAAATTTAAGGTTTCAAGAAGGCAAAGACCTAAAAGAACGTTCATATTTACCAATCATAGGTAAGTTTTTCAAATGTTTTCCGGTCCCAAAAGGAGAAATTTTGTCAAGAAAGTTCTATAAATGTACATAAGAAATATATTATCGATATATTAAATTAAGGTTGTAGGAGCTTTAACCGAATTAAAGCGTGTCATTGAATAGAAATTTGCGATCTACTTGTACCCATACATGTCTACACCTTATTTTCTTTTATTTCTAAAACATGCCTGTAGATTCGTGTTCCACTCAAAAGCAAACAGTGTGCGCGTTGAATGTTGCCTTACTGATTCTGACGTTCTAACTCATCAAAAGTTTAACACTTGCAATTAGCCCGGCATTTATTTATTCGGATTTAGTTAAATAACTAGTCCGCAGCCACACGTCTATAAAGTGTGTCACAATATGCAAGTTTTTTGCTTACTTTAAGAGGTTTGGTTTAACAAGCATTGTTAAAAAGCTTCATTGAATAATGGTTTCTAACATCACTAATAAAAGGGCTTCGAGAGAGGACATGGCAGCTGTTGCTTCGCCGCAAATGGCGACCTCACCTTCAGGCTTGGGAGGACATGTAGATCACCAACGGGCCACACTTGTGGAAGATCCTGATGTGTGGCGCCCGACGTAAAGTGGAATCGCTTACGACTACTAATCATATCAGTGTATGGAATTAATTATTTGCTTGCCTTACTGCATGCTTATAGAGCTATTTGCTTAGCGTATTTTGTACGTAGCTGAAGCCTGTTTTTCATCAACTGACCAAAAAGATTATATTATTTTCGTTCGTATAGAAAATTCAAACACTTTTTGATATTTATGGTATTCAAACCCTCTAGATACTATGTTGATCATAGTTTCTTGTGCAGCGTGTTCAGCTAAGAATGGCTTTCCCCATAGTTCAATTAGAACTGCTCCAAGAGTTTTAAGAAAAAAGAATTTGATAAATCGGTCAATAGAAACACTGGAAATTGTTTACCCGCTGGAAGGCCAAAGTGCAATGGCAAATCAACTAATTGAAATTATTTAAGATATTTGTCCATCTACGTACTGTTTTGATATCGGATATCATCACACCCGATATAAAATTCAATAACATAAAGATTATTCCATTTAGCATCAGCTGGCTACTGGATATTTTTTCGTATCTCGTCAAACGAGAATGTAGGAACAGTGATAGCACATCTTCCTCATGTTCTATTCAATTTTGCTCATTYTATACTTGCTTGAAAGGGAATTTTATAGCTGTTACAATCTGATTCCGGTGGTGTGTTATAATTTCAGGYCAAGTTTTGTAGGGTGTGCTTTTGGTTAATGTTTCAGATTCTTGAAGTTCATACAAAAAAACTAAATGTAAATCCATACTTCCTTTRAATCTTGTCGTCCGTTGGGCATGGTTTGAAWCGTCCGATGGSCATTAAATGAGCTTCATTTTGATGAAGTCAATATGTYAATATTTGCTCAAATTAACTTTTACAATAATTTGTAACGATATTTCAACGTGCTCGAAATGACGATAAATTATTTCATATTCTTTGACATTTTATTACAAGAAACCATCCTTTAAAACAATTATTAGGAATCGAACTATTGTTTCTAAAACAATTAATGGATGTCAAATAGTTATAAAACTTCTTCGCATTTTGCTTATTTCAAGAATTCATGACTTAATCAGATGTAATTAAGTACAGCATTTCGTTGTGAAWCGCAATTTAAMTRATYATGAATTATTTTTTTATTAATAATTCMAAACTTGTCCATTGTTTTATGACTTAAAGTAAAAAATACCTTGTTAAACGGCAATATTTTTTCAAATAGAATTAGTTAGGTCTAACGAATGAAAATATAAAAACGAACTTTCCGCTGGAAAATTGTGCAAATTTAATGCCCATTCAAGCAAACGCAATGGGTCCCAATGAGTTTTTTGCAGACAGCAATCTGAAACGCTAACTGATCACCAAACTCAGTCTTTAGCAATAAAATGGAAAKAATTTGATASAACATATGAAAGATACAGTGCTTTTACAAGTTCTTCGCTCCAATTTTAAGAGGTGAAAAAATCTCAAGTAGCAAACTGACTCCAAATTGAATAATCTTATTATATCCGATATCAAAAAATCACCTAATTGGACAAATATTTGAAATATTTTTCATGGCCTTTAACAGCCCSCCGYCGCACAATGTAAAATTTTGGTTTTTCTTGTTTAAAAATAAAATAACTTTTGATCGTTAAATCATTGTGATTTTTTWWAAATGAAGCTTTGTAGTAGATCCTCAGAAATTAAAAAGAGTCATTTATGAAAAGGAAAACAACTTTCAACGAACGTTTATAATCTAAAGCAAGTCGGGTATAATTTGGTACATCGAATATTAAGTTTACAAATTATAAAAATACAATATTTATTAAAATAAAGTAAGTGTTGTTAGATATTTGTAAACATTATCAACTTCGCCAATTTTTCCTGACCTCTAAGTATATTTAAATGGCCTTATTTAATATTTCTCTAAGATTACTGATTACCTGAGCTTCATAAAAAAAATACGATAATTCATCGATTAAGTCAAAAGTTGATTGATTTTAAAACAAGTAAAATCAAAATGTGACACTGTGTGCCGTTGGGTTGATATTCTGAATTTGAATAGATAAAGTATAAGAATAAATGAAAGGAATACTAAAGATACAGATCAACATAGGAAGAGAGTAAATTTAAGGGCAGTTCTGGACAACCAAGAGAGAAGGAAGAGACATTTTTGAGTGACAGACGAAATACTGCAAATGGTGGAGGAAAGAAGACCACACAAATTTACAAAAGTACAAAAAAGTTAACAGAGATATGCAGGGGAGACTTCGAAGATTAAGAAGCAATTGATGAATAGCAAAATATCAACTGTTAGAAAGAAAAAATATAATTTCGCTGTACTTAAGAAAATAAAGAAAGTAGTAGGTGAAAATAGGACAAACACATATCCCTTGCTATATTGACACGACACTAATGGATATCATCACAGATCTATATAGATAGACGTTCTAAAATACTAAATCAAGAAGTTGTAGAAGTAATAGAGAACAATAAAATCGGAGAAGCTCATGGACTATTAAATTATGTAGAAGCACAAAGTTTTAGACGAAGAACACGTTTTAGATGCACGCACTGGTGATATTTTTTCCATTTCTCATTTTTCTCACAGAAGCTTGTTCAGTTTCACAATGAAAAGTTTTTAATTTTTATCAAGTAATATTTTTGTTGAAACCCACATTTTAAAATAAAAGGATGACAATAATTAAATAATTAATAACCTAAACCATAAAGCATTAACAACTTGGTGATTATTTAATACACATCGTAATGCTAAGCAATAAAAAGTGTTTTTTTTTCGAAATAAAATGAAATCCGTTTATTTAAGGTATAGGCAAGATAATGAAAAATGATACTTATTTTTGAAGTTGAACACTCTTGAAATATCTTGAATCTTGAAAATAGTTTTGCAATTTCAAAAATGTAAGGGATTTTATGGATTTCGATGGGCTTCGAGCTGAAACTGACCAAGTCTATAATAACAATTTTTGGTAAATGCACTTTTAATCCGAGCCAAAAATTTTATCAGAATCCTTTAGGAAACTTGGCCATTAAAAAGGCATTTTAGTGCACCTGTTTGGGTGGCTTTGGGGGACTTGGTCAGTTTACGCGGCGCGATACCTAAATCGATACGCAGTACCCTTGTCATCATGTGCTTATAAAAAAAAGGATTGGAAACTTGGAAATAAATTTGAGGTCTACTTCAAGCATCACTGAAATTGTGTTGCTGGCTTGAAAGTGTTTTAGATACATAAATACGCTTATTAGAGTATATTAGATGCTTTAGCACAATTTGTAAATTTCGGAATTATTACAACTGTATTTTTCGAGTTTCGGATTCACGTAGATAATAGTCGGAGATCCTGTATACGTAGCATAATTATTTACTTTTTGTCCTATTAATTTTGGGTGTATCTGTTTGAGCCGAAACAGTTTAAATATTTGCTTGTAGAAAACATTATCTAGTTGAAAAAATAGTTCGGCATTATTAAGACTTAGAAACCATTCTATTATGTAGCTTATACGATCAACTTTATACAAAGCAAACATTGTCAGCTTATAATGTCGAAGAATAGAACATAACGCAAATAAGCTTATATTGAATCCATTAAGCGCTTTACGCTTCTAGTTACAGCAATGTTATAGCAGATGCAGCACATCAGCTTCCCCCGATTGATATTAATGTATTCTACTCTCCAAATTGTTACGTATATTTCGAAATAGTAAATTTTCCAATTATTTTATAGAATAATTTTCCTTGCATTTAATAAAGTAAGGCTTGCACTGGAAAAATCAAAACTAATCAACAATAAAATAGAACTAGCTTTTGAAATCAAATAAGTCTAAATGTTAAACCATGGTTAACTTTTTTAAACATTCTGTACACTGTTTTCACTCCGGAATAAAAAATAGCAGTGGTGACTTTAGAGAAGCTAACTAAATGAACATGAAATCAAAATGAAGCATCCACCTAACAAATTGCAAATGTTTAGACCGACTAAACTAAGTCAACTTTAATCAATTCTAATATAAATTTCGTTTCAACTTAAATTTCTCATTATTCGACAGAAGTTCTTTTACACAGGGTTACCAGTAAGATTTGTTCAAATAAAAAAACCTAATTAGCATATTTGTGCAAAGGTATCAGTCAAGTAAGGACGACATTCCAAAATCGTTTTTATTAAATTGGACATTTCAGAAGCCTGGGGCAAACTAATCCTGTTTATTGTATTATATTTTTTCTTATTTTAAAATTTGAAAGCCCAGTGTTTCAATTTGCCATTTGAATACATTTCAGAGTAAGAGTCGTTTAAAAAGGCTGTAAATTGTACTTGCCGAGTTGTCCAAATGAAAGTAACATTTGCTTGCATAAATAGCTTATCTAGAAAATGGATAGAATACAATAGAAGTTAAATTAATATGTCACGGTCCATTCAGCAAACAAATATTACTTTTTTCAAGCCAATTACTTTAGATTGTGTATAATTCTACTTTATTTGTATAGAGCGACCGCTGAGGAGATGCGTCAAGCAGCGGCCGCAGCTGAAGCAAGCCGGCAACCTGGCGGCGTAACATCAACCAGCATGCGTTCCAACCTTGTAGCAAATGCTCAACCAATCAGCTTTACAGGAGCCCCTGTTTTTGACAGTAATGTTTGACCGTGATATATATGGATTATTTTCAGGTTCCTTTCATTTTACCTTTGCGTCAAAATACGTCTAACAACACTTAAAATCCTCCTTCCATCAAGAAATCTCCAAATAATACATGTATAAACATATGCATAATTTGGGGATATTTAAGTCTAGTTAATTTGTTTTTTTTTGTATGGAGTAGAACTGGTGAAGCAAGGCAGATTTAGCCGGAAGAATATGGGGAAGGGTCCACTATAATTCTAATTTGTTTTAATGAATTATTGTCGTTACGGTTTCTGTTTTGCTCAGTATTAGATTGTTTTATTTTATCTTTATTTATTCACTTAAGTTTATAGTTTTAGTGCCTACCAAAGGGAGATTACAGTAAGAAGTATAATATATTTATTTGTATGTTTCCGTTGTTTCAAATAAAATAAAATAGGCGGATATATGATCTCAAACTTCAACAAGTTTGCTCATTTTATAGAGAATATTTGCCCATCGTTAATTTTTAAATTTACTTGTAATTTAAAAAAATAGTCATTTATTTGAAACAACTCCTTTCAGGACTAATTTGTTTTGTTTTATCAGCTTTTCTTTGATTATAAATGGTTTTGAAAGTCTTTCGTTGATGAAGGAAGTCCTTATTGAAGAACTTTTCTTGAACGAGGCTCGTAAGTATACGAATCTCGATCAAGAAACAAACCAAAATTATGGGTGTACATAATGTATACTTCTAAGTTAACTTAAATACAGTGCGAGATTATAGGCTATAGTTGTATTTATTCATATAATTTATAATACATAAACTGTCAATTATAGGAGTGCTGTGCGCTACTGGGTTTGAGCTTATAATTTCAAAATTTAAATTAAATAATTACACAACCATTTATTATATGTGAGACACATTTTAATTGTGTGTCGAAAAAATGGAAGTATTTGACTGTGACTACTCCAATTACTTGTTTTTATTTGGTCACAAATTTTATAAATTGTGTGGTTGAATTTCTTACCCTTTTGATTTCTTAGTAAATATTGCCTATTATTTCAATTTAATTCATCAATTTTAATCATAAGCATTTTAAGACTGTGGTTTATGCGTGTATTGGTGTGTACTTTAGTCTAATTAAATTACGTATTATACGGTGTGTCTAATTCTCTAAATACCTACTTTGCGTGCTTGCTGAAGAGATTATGTTCGCTTACTCCTGTAGAGAGGGTCAGTAAAAGTAATTTTGGTTATAACTCCCGGTATATGTGATTATATTTTCTATATTGTTGTATGTAGTATATCCCTGCTCAATTGGTTATTTATTAATACAATAAATTTTACTTTCTATTAAGTAAGAATTATTGGCGCTACAACATTCAAAAAGACATGCTAAATTAACATTCCATCTCGGTTTCCGAATGAGGAATTCCAGTCTACATATCGTATGTTTTTAATGATCAATCAAATATATTTTGCTTTTATTTGAATAGTGATTAAACTTATTATAGTTGTTTGAATACAGATGAAAATATAATGACCTTTATCAACTGCATAATGTTAGTGCATTAATTACATGTCATAAAAATTGGTTTCCAAGTTTATTATATGCAGAGCGAACACTAAACAAAGTTATTTAATAGCTCTTAGCACAGTTAATCGTTTAAAACTAAATTTTAATTTTGAAGATGACCGGAAATAATTTGTGATATTTTAACATTTTATACTATTTTCCAGATTCCAAAAGATTTTTATCACAATCTGTGCGAGGTATTATATTTTGTAAATTTTGTTCTGGCGCCTAAAAGCAGTTAAAATATAAGGAATTACGCGAAACTATTACGACACGTTTATAAATTACGTAAAAATATTTTTAATTTATAACTTAACACTTGAAACAATCTTTACTTGTTTTTTCGGCTTTCAGGTTTCAAATAATACAATAAAAAGTTCGGATTCTTAAGTTTAGAAAAGACTTATCCTTATCTAAGCTTTTTTCTTCAATTAATGAAAAGTACTATTACTTCGTTAGTAATGTTATCTTGTGTATTTAAATAATGCCTGAAGCAACAAGTTGAGTTTTCCAAATAGTTTGTTAAAAATGTTAGCAAATGATAATGTTCACACTGTGAGCCATGAAGTCTCAATGCCGTTCCAATATGCCACGTACAGTTTTCACTCAAATAAAAGAGTAAAATGTGAAATTTTTTTAAAGATGTTGCAAATCAATCGATGAAAGTTCCCAGTAGACGGAACTGGAGGTAGACTGCATGTTTCTATTTATTATGTATACTTGAGATTGCTTTGAAGGTAAATGACTGAAAATTTTTTATTTGAATATTTACAATTTTTCCAAGTGTGGTCGTAAACTCAGCTACAATATAATTGCTTCCATTTTAAATGGATTTATTTAAGCTGCCAAAAACCTTTTCTGATATTTAAACTAGTTATATATATTTCGTAATACTGTGAGTTTACTAGAACGTTATGTAATACCTAAAAATAAATAATTAATTTAAGCAACATAATAGTAATAGAAAGAAACGGTAGTTTTATGTAACACACATCGACCTTTATTTGAAGATAATTGCATACATTAAATATTTTGATTTTGAGAGTTATTAAAGTGTGCATTGAATTGAAATGTAATTGAATGTAATTGTTATTATGTACATGTTCAATTAGATCAATTTCTAACATTGCAAATTATAGGATGACATGGCTACATGAAATGTAACCCGAAAAATGTACTGTTATAGCAATAAAACAAAGTATTATATTTTTGCGTATCATTGTATTATTGTAAAGCCGTCTCCGTTATCTCGATAACTTGATGCTCCGTTCTTTCCAAAGCGGGAAAACTTTGTCTTCGAAAGCAGCTCTGTCTTCCGATTCTTGAACTTTTGAATTCATCTTCGTTTGGAATTATGAAATAAGATTAATTTCTCGAAGACTTAGCTGCTTTTAACTCCATTTCTTTCGCGAATTATGGTGCCTTAATTAAAGATTCTTTCCAAAGCGTGAAAACCAGCTCTCCCTTCCGATTTCGTCTACTGTTTAAAGATTGGAAATCGGTGCAAATCTGATTAAGTTCTGAACCAGTCCTGTCTGTATCTTCAAATATTTTCAGATAAATTCGTCTTTACTTTCTTTACCACGATAGGTTTTTTTAATTTGAAAGCTGAACTCGCAAGATCCCAACTTGCTGTTCTGAAGAACTAAGTACGTTTTGAGGTAAAGAGCGTGTGAGAGTGAAAATCGAAAGTTTCAACAATATGTCGATTGTTACCTTCGTTATCTCGCAAGGTTTCAGAAATAAAAAAAAATATTTCGATGATAATTTTCAAACAATATCCATATAACAGAAAAACTAAGCAAGTTTCAGAAGTTCGCAAGATTTCCCCAAACTAAGAAATTTAGTCTGAAAACGAAAAATTCGCTGTATCGTCCAATATTTGAAGATCCAAAATTTGGCAAACTAACCACCTTTTGACTGACACTAAAGTGCGAAGTTTCAATAGTCCGAAGTTTCCCCTATATATTTGCCGCTAACGTCGATTCTTTGCGCAATTCCTAGAATCTTTACCACGCAGGAAAAAGGCGAAATCTTGCTTTTTCTTCCACTGTTTGAAGATTTTAAATCGGCGCTGAACTGAGCTGAAGAGTTTATGGGTTTTTAAGACTCATAATCACAACTCATCATTTTCCTGATACAATCGATCTGAAAAATGTTAACCGACTGTTCCATATTCATGTTTGAAGATCAAAGTCGGTTGAAAATTAATCACGTTCTGAGCTAAATGGTCCCGCATTTATTCGTTTTTGAACCAGGTAATGCTTTGAAGAAAAAAAATAGAAAAGTTGGAACTCGATAAATTCTGACTGCTGCAAGCGATTTGATTTCTGTTTGAAGTGTTGTTACGTCCAATTATTTTTCTATCAGTGCGTGTTATGGCAAAAGACTATAGTTCTCCAGGAAAAGTTTCTACAGAGTGGCAAATGAAACAATGTGAAATTGCTGAAACTTTTGCATGCTCCCAAATGAGCAAAAAAAATTGTGATTTTTTTTGAACTTCAACATGAAAAACACAAACGTAGACCTCATATTTCAAAACGTTTTTTGAATTTTCCCCCTACCTTTTTAATTAACAGCTGATGTCAAAAAAAATCAACTTTTTGGTCTTGGCACCGATAATTTTTTTCTCTTGGGCCGTTTTTCAAAACTTGCAGCTAAAGTTGAAGCTGAAACGTCATGTAAAAAGATGCAAGTCCGATGGTCGACTCAAGATAAAAATTCAATACACAGGATTGCATTAAAATTGTCCCAATCGGAATTGCTCCCGAAATTTTATATTATGACATACTTTGAATTAAAGTTAAGATTACATTCTAACAATCCGTTACATTTAATTATACAAGTAATTATATGAACACTTTAGGATGATGTTATATGCTTGCATGAGTTAGATTGGTTGGTAGAGGAACTAAATTACAACTGCATGCCCTTTGCTGACCTGAAAATGCACGCAAATTCACAATTTAAATTTGTTGTTTATCCTCTACTGTGAATAAAACATTTTCGTCACCACCTCCTCGCTCTTTTCTTATTCAACTGAACTTTATCGGCGGTATATGGTTGATTCAATTTATTGCTAAGTAAATTTCTAAACGTATAATTATCAGTTAAAAAAAACCAGAAAGTACCAAAAATGACGGCATATGGAGATCAGAGCAAAAAAATGTTTGCAATGCAAAGAAATTTGATTTTTTTACATCACCCTGTAAATAAAAATGATGTAAAAAAACCGTATAAAAAAAAATAAAATGATAATGAGGAAAATTTCAAAAAACGTTTTGAGATTTGCGGATTATCTTTATTCGTTTCGTGTTAAAAAAAAACCCAAAAATTTTGCATTGTATCATTTGCCAACGTCTAGAAACTATCTAAAGCATAAATTTTTTGCAAAAACACGGATTGATAGAAAAAGAATTGGACTAGAAAACACCTCAAACCGAAATCAAATCGCTCGCAGCAGTCAGAATTTGGCCAGTTCCAAATTTAGGGCAAATTTGGCCATGTAAACGTCTATTTTGTTGATCAGTTGATTTATAGGGCAGCTTTAAATCACATACACAAAACTTGTTGGTCTTGCACCGATAACTTTTCTGTTGTTGATCTCATTTTCACGACCTTGAGCTCATGTTGAAGCTAAACTTAATAGACAATTTAAGACGAAAATTTGATGTGATATTGTATAAAAACACCCAAATAAGAATTGTACTCGAAATCTGTGCTTCTAAAAGATCTTCTTCTCTAGAGAGAGAAACAAGTGAAGTTTATGTTTAAATGTTTAATAATTTTTTTTCTGAAGTCGACTGCGAAGTTAGCTTCAACATGAGCCTAAAATTACCCAGTAGGGCCAAAATTAAAAAAAAAACATGACTGCGATACCAAAAAGTTGATTTTTTTTAAGCCCACTATGTAACTGAACAAGATGAAGGAATAATTCAAAAACTTTTTTCGACTACGCGGTCTATCTGGTGTTGAAATACAAAAAAGTTTTTTTGGTTTACTGAGAGCGTGTGAAACTTTCACTAGTTTTGCATTGTTTTATTTGCCATTCTGTAGCAATTATTAACCCTGTAGAAAAGAATTGCACTAAATAACGGTTCAATCAGAAACCAAATCGCTCTCAGCAATAAAAATTGGTCGAAAGTTGTTCGTGTAATCGTCCAGTTAAATTAGTGTTTCACTTCGCAATTCAAGATAACAAGCTGTAAACTCGTATAAACCTTTACCTTAACATTCTAAAACTTGTCTCAAAACCAACTTACGATAGTGTGGACGCGACTGTAGATAACTATGGTTAAAGGTCCAAAAAAACTTTTTGCGCATTTTTTGCAAATACTTCGTTTCCAGTAAGTTTTACGGTATTTGAATGCATTGTATTGAATTATTTACGGGATGAATATTGCAGCTTGTTAAATTCTGCACAACTTTTGCTTGAAACATTATTTTATACGTTTAACCGTTTTAGAGATAGAGGGCGGAGAGCGCGCAGTGTTTAACTATGTACAGCGTTATCGCATTTAGAAATGTTTTTCGGGCTTTGAAGCCGTGGTTCGTGGCAATTTCTTCCTGACGTTTCGTCCACAACTGCAGTGGACATTATCAAAGGCGATGAAGCAGTGGGCAAAGTGATTTAACGGGCGTTGCGTTAGTTACTTGCGTTAACTTAGTTAATCTATGGTTGCGACTAAGACTGGTTCAACTATCGTGACTTGATGTTTTACGCAGACATAGCCATTCAAGGCTTTGTGTCTTTGCTGGTAGCCTGCAAGAGCCTTGGTGGGTTAGGGGTGTGGGTTTTGGGAGTTTGTGGGACTGAGAGCGAACGAAGAAAAGAAAAAAGTAGGAGAGCGAAGCGAGAAAAGTTGGTTTGTGGCGATTGGTTTTAAGTTTTAAATTTGGAAGAGTTAGAGAGTTTAGGTACTTTCCAGGAGATTTGAAATGTCGGGAATCACCTGCTTAAGGCGGGTGATTCCAGGGGGGTCTGCAATTAGACTTGTCGGGGTTAGGTAGCGTGGGTTAGGGATAGTTTGGGAAAACGTGTCTTTAATTAGTGGGTTTGGATGGTTTAGGACGCCAGTTTTGAACTTTTCGTGGAGCTTTGAGACGAACTGTTGCACGTTTCGATTTGAAGGTTCGCGTGAATTTGTGAGTTACGGACGTACCAGGGGGGTCTTGTCATCCTGCGGAGGATTTTGTTTTGGAAGACTGGTTCAACTACCCATGACATGATGTTTACCGCAGACATAGCCAATTAAGGCTTTTTGTCTTTAATGGTAGCCTGCAAGAACATTGGTGGGTTTAGGGCGGGCTGGTTCAACTACTGAATCCCCTGTCGTATTTATGCGGCCCGGCCGTGTGAGCTCATTCGTGAGGAGTGGGCGGGGCTTTAATTGTTTTGGCGCACACGCTGTTTGCCGCAGTTGTGGACGAAACGTCAGGAAGAAATTCTCATGGACCACGGCTTCAAAACCCGAAAAACATTTCTAAATGTGATTTGACCGGCCGTGAAAGCCTTCACAGTTCAGGGTTATTGATTGAACTTTGGCCACCCCGTTTTAACATCTAATTTGAAAATTAGAGAAAAATGTTTAACACAAAAGTTGTAGATATATATTAATCTAGTTTATTTTAAGATAGTACTAATTGATACAGAGTGTCTCAAATTCAAGTGACACACCAAACTTGCCTTTTTAATGGAATGCCGTACTTTTTATGGCAGACGACTTTTCAAAACAACATGTAAGCAATGTTTTCTTTGTGTATTTTCGGTTGCAATTTTTTTGGGAAAACAGCTTTTTGTATGTAGAAAATTTCTGCATAACTCTGTTAATATTGGGCCGATTTGGACATTTTGACGATTTTCGATAAAAACTAGAACACGGAAAATTGAAATCGGGTGTTCTTGTAACAGTTTGGAAAGTCATGGGTTCTGAATAGTGGCAAGCGTAAAACTCTCAAACTTGCATATACTTCCACTCTTTACTCTGCAACTCGGTTACAAGTATCAACATTTAGGAGAAATTTAAAACTTAAAAAGCCCATAGACTTTGCGTAAAAACCAGTTTCTAAAGCTCATTTCGGTCACCGTTTCAGGACAGTGGCATAACGGATGCTGGAGCTGATACAGTTCTATACAAGACCACGAGTTTTGAAGAAGCTTTGAAAACTTGCTATTGAAAAAACGAGTTTTTTAGTTGGTAATAATGCAACATTATCCAGTGTCTCAGGTCTCAAACTCCTCAATAAAAGATATCGTAAATGATGGATAAGGCTGGGTTGGTTTGCAGACAGACTAGACTTTCAGATCCCCCGAATAAAATTGATTTTTTTGTTTGGGCATATCTAAACTCGCATAGTAGTATATTGCACGCCAATCCACACCCTCTCGAATTCAGACAGGTTATTATTGATAAGTGTGAAAAAAATAAACAAAAGGGTGGAATATTTTTGAGGGTTAGTCGCAATTTTTTTGAGAAGACTTGATTTGTGTAATTTAAAACTTTATTACAAAATCTAATAATAGCCATTACCTAATAGACTATTGAATAAATAACAATTATTCTAAGTACACTTGTTTATACTTCATGTTTTGTTAAAACATTGGTCATAATTTAACATGCGTTATTATCCACACATCGCAAGAAAGTTTTCTGAGTAGATTTTCTCGAAAACGGCTCATTCTAGAGGAATGTGACATATATTTTACATAATTTATAATAAAAAGGTTTAGGTGTGAAGTAGCTGAGAAAGGTGAGTTCCAACCTTAGGATTAAGGAATCAATATCAACTTTTGATGATGATAGAAAAGGTCATTTGGTCTTTGGTAGTTTGCGTGTTGATCACGACTGCTTATTTAGTAAATAGCTGATCTTTTGGCTTGAAAAAAGATCCTCATTGTACAATTGTGATTGTTTAAACTACACAAACGTATTTACTGTAGCCGACAGTGAATCATTCTAATTTGCTCAAACGTATTACACATCTATGAAGCGCATTTGTTGTTTTACTTTTATCTTCTTCAACCGATAGATAGGTAGGTGTACCTTTAACGCTAACCACTTGATATTATGGGGGGGATCAACTTAGCGCGGCATTGACTCCAATTGTTTAAACAAATGCAGCCGTGTAGCGCTGCGTTACTTTGCATCATGTTATACGTTATAAAAGATCGCGGTTTCTTTGCCGAGTAGATTTACGGCACGAAAATTAGTGAAAGTTTTTTATCAGTTTTAATGAACGCATTTTCAAGTGCATTGAGGCCTGCTTTGCTTGCGGCTTTAGCTACATTTTTGCGACTTTAGTGGTCATCGATCTGAGATCGGAAATGGATCTAGATATTGCTACTGCAGAACTAGAGTCGTTTTCCGCCACCCCAATAAAATCCGTAGATTTTAACATTTCGGATTTGTCCATTTTCGAAATAAGTGAAAACACTGGAGTAAGACCGCTTTCCGATCCGGTATACGAACAATTCCTAGCTGATGTTTGGGTGGGCATAGTGCTGACACTAATGGTACTCAGTTGTGTGTGTTTTATGTGTTCGTGTTTGATTTACCACAAATTTCAGGAATGGAAAAATGGAGGTGAGCTTATTTTATTTTTTTTTATTTTTACTTATCTGGCATATTGCTCTCAAAAGTGTTCAACACATTTTTTCTGACGATCGGTTTTATGAATAATCTCCATAATTAGTACTTAAAATAACTAGTTCTTCCATTCTTTTCCGTTACGGATGTATTCAACTTCAAAGCAAAAAGTGTAAGTAAAACCATTCTTTTCGATACGACCGATAAGTCGTGAATCTTTGGTGGCAACTGATTCATGCTTCATTAGTAACTACTAATACTCATGACTCATTAATTAGTACTCCGCAAAGTAAAGAAAAATGTGTGTCTTATTTTATAAGGTGATGAAATAAAGAGGAATTTTTATCCCAAACTTTGATGATACATAGATTTTTAAACGGGCCACAAAATCGCGTCTACATTCAGGTAAAAAGGGTTATTAGATATATTAATTTTATGTTTATAAAATGGCATACTTTATAAAGGGCAGTTTTTTAGACGCATATAACTTTAAATTGAAATAACACTCATAAAATTCAAGTTAAGCTCATAGTACTGGCTTTATTGAAAAGACAGTTGTATGCCATTATAGCTTAAATAATATTTGGGGCATATATGGGGGCCACTCGATTATATAAAAAATAACCTCAAAAAGAGATTTTTACTGCATATAACGGCGTCTCAATACATAATGACTTTCGGATTTCTCGTCAATCCAAATTCGTCAATTTATTTCGAAAATCGCTGTTCAGTTTTCTAAACTCACCATGCGCTACGTTCATTTTACGGTCGACATAATCGTTTTTGGCTCAATGGTTTTAAAACATTGAGTTTCGTAGAAAAAAACCCAACCAGGTTTTGTAGATAAAAAAAATTGCCACATTTGGAGCCACAAAAATCCAGAACTATTGAGACCCCCTTATATCCAGAAAAACACATCACAGTTTTTTTGTGCTTTATGGTCTGGAAGAAGTTTGGAAATTTTCGAAAATTGGACTTTTGAGAGGCGGCTACAGTTTCATAATATGTGATCTTAAGAGTCAAATCACCGCACGTTAAGTGAATAAAGTTTGATATTACATGAATTCAAGATTTAAACTTGTGTTTCTGTTGAATAGTATAGACGTAGTAAAGCAAGGAGAAGGAAAGCTACTTTAAAATTAGAAAAGCAAAAGCAGTTAGAGTTATTTTTAGTAATGAGCGAGACCCGTCTTGGTCTTGAAAACGATATTTCAGGTGCCAGCAGAAGCATTATATAAAGGCATAAATAAAACATATTTATAATATAGTAAAAATGTTGGAAAACGTCGATTTAACACGTGGAACAATTTCAACTTTTGGTAAAAACTTTCTGCTTCGATGCTCTGCGCTCAATGTTTTATCCAGAGAAAGATCCTGTGTAATTCTCTGTGTGATGTGTTTCAATATTTGTGATGTAAATGTTACGAATGCATTTCTGCTAACCAAATGCAAATTTTGCCTTCTTCGTAAGCGGAAAAGAACTGCAATATGTGTTATTTGCTTAGGTCTTTATCACGTCCCCCGAATATTGTATCAATTCTTTTCCCAGCTCTTTTTCTCGCATCCCGATAATGTACCGCATTTTCAGTCAATTTTGTTTAATTTTTCTAGTTCGGCAACTTTGTTTCTCAACTTTCTTACAAATTCTAATAGTAATTTAAGCAATCGCATTGCAGGCAAAAGTGTTACTATACAGTGCGCCCGCAGATAGACTCGTAAATCCAACTTAATTGATTTCGCAGCATGCGGAATCATTGATAGATAAAGCTTGGTCTCTTTCCGAAAAAATGCTGCAAACAGGTTCCAGATCCACGCGTTTCTTGATCAAATGTCGAAATTTGTAAAACTGGACAAAATTATAAAAACTTGTTGAACTGCTTCAGTTGTTATTCACTATGCAAAATCGATGACGTAGTTGAAAGGATTCTTTTACTACTTGATACAAATTTAATTTTAATGTAAATTTATACAGAATGCCTGAAGACCGTCTAAAATTAAATAACTTAAACTGACTTAAATTTCTCGCTTATTTTATTTGAGTCACCTTCTAGGTTTATTCATCAGGAGATGAAATATTTAATGTATTCACATAAACTATTAGATCAACTTCTGAAATTAAGTCTGTATTTCGGGTCATTGCGCTTGTGATTTTAGATCTAAAATTTTCGGCTCGACAGTAAAACTGCGACAAGTTTTAAAAACTGTTTTTTCGGGTTTTAACTCATTTCTTGAGGTAATCATGCAATTCAATTTAAAATATTCGCCGTGGTCATTGTTTTTTTTTGCGCCGAGAGAACGCACTTTCGAAGGTTCCCTTGGTTAGAAAGAGGATAAAAAATCATGCTTTTCTAACCAAAGATTGCTATAAACAACTGATCAATTATGTCTACAAAATGTCTTAATTCAAGTACGTTATAAAGAAGATTATTGGTTTTACAAGAAAGTTTGACGTCTTTATGTTTTATTTATGATTTATTGCACAACCAAATGTTAATATCTGCGAATTGACTAAATCAAATCGCAGGTTTGCCTGATATCGAAAGAAGGCGCAATTTAGCAAAATCTCAAGCAATCGGTATTACATCAAAAGTGGAAATGAAAAACACATGTTTAATCAATAGTCTAAAAAGGAAGTAAAAATAAGCAAGAACGGTGACAAATACTTTTGATTTTATTTTTCTTTACTCGCTTTGTCTCCTAACTGGCTTAATAGGTAAATAACGCAAACAATTAAATGTTTTTTTTTCTATTCTACTAAGCAGACAATGCAATTTTCTCAGACATTCAGTGAATCTATTTCTAACGTACATTAATAGCAAATATGCTCAAGACCAACAGTCTTAGAACTATATTTTTTTGCATTGCCTCATAATTCATCAATTGTGTATAAGTATTTTTTATTGTATAAAATGTCGTTTTGTCGTTGAATTTTGTCTCCTCTTTCTATTCAAGTAAAAGTTTTAATACTAAGTAAGAATAGTACAAGAAAATAGTTTTTAAGCTTAGTTAAGCCGACCCGGAGATTTTGAAACCAATATTTGATCTTCCCCACCACTTGACCAACAAACTTTAAACCAAGTTTAAGTAAACTTGTCTCAGCAATAGACTAAAATTATTTTTAGCCTACCTTAACTCTACTAAAACAATATCTTTTTAAATTTATTGTTGCATTTCCACATTCTAGCGACCATTTTGGGAATTTGAGAGAAGTGTCTAGCATTTCATCTTGCTCACGTTAGTAATAATTTTTTCCCTGAAATATGTATGATTAATAATATCTTCGGAGATATAGCCGTCGACCTCTCTTAGTTTCTAACTCGGTACATTAATTAGGTGAGTTTTAAAATCAGATTTTTTTACTTAAAAGTGACTTAACTACTGTAACTACTGGTTTTGGCGCAAAACTAAAACCAGTTTTTTAAGAAGCAGACACATTTCCGACAAAGCTCAAGGTTTTTTTTTTGGAACATACGATTTAACTATAGCATTAGAAATTGGCTAATATTAATAATGTTTCGAAATCGCCACGAAATCATTTTTTTTTGTTTTTCTGCGATGTTTAAAACATATTGACAGCCATTAATGGTGCTAAATAATAATTTTTCAAATGTATGGGAGCATTACTCTTTATAAGATTAAACAATAAGCAATTACCTTAGCGGTTTGTTATGTAGCAACATTTAGCATTCATTATTTTTTTACAGATCATAGAATACACCCTAAACCTAACATATCATTTACACATCACCTAAAACTTACGCCCAACAAAAACTCAGTGGTTAATTAACCTTCAAGTAACTTTTTCTCGATTCGTCGTGCGTGTTGGAGATTGGTTTCAGACCTTTTTTCAAATAAAACGGTCATTTATGGCTATTCTTTCATATTTATGTAATATCCTTACTTGCCAATTTGTGTAAGAAGGCAAACTATTAACAAAATCTATCGTGACCATACTGATGACTTTCCAGAAAATAGTTTCATTAAAATTTTAATTTGTGAAACATGTTACTTAACATTACAGTTTTTTCATTATTTGTGAAAGAACCAATGTGAACTTTGTCATTACCTATTATATATTGTTATTAAAAATAACAAAAAATAATTTAGAAAATGTATGTTTATACTCTTGAATATAATTTAAGACTTTATATTATTTAGGCACTATTCCATGTGGGATTAGAATACTTTTGAATCAGCTAAAAAAAATATTAAAATACTACATAGGCTGCTTCAAATTCCCATTCGAAAAACTTATTTTTCCATATTGTTTTAAAGTAAATTAACCAAAACAATTAAGTTTGAAAGATGTTCTCAAGGATATCCAACTAATACAAACAAAAATATAAAATATATGTTTTAGAGCTAGAATGAATTTGCATCTTAAAACGTATAATGTCGAATAAGCAAATATTTTCATAGGAGACAGCATACGACTTTCTGAAAGAATTCGAATGAAAATATATTATTTTGAAAAAACTTTGGTCTAATTGCAAATTTGTTTTTAAATACTGAAGTCAATCCTGTTAGGTGACAATATGATCGAATCTTGCAAATCCGGACTTTGGGGTATCGTTCACTTTTTCTTTCAGAAGATCGTTTAGAATGTTTTTATGTTCGAGGTTTCAAAACTACATTTATGTCCGGTACGTTCGGTTAATAAATAATAAATATCTCTCTCATAACTGTGGAACGAAGCAAAAAAAAACAATATAAACCATGAATAGATCATGGAAACGTGCAAAATTGAATTAAACTGATTGTCCAAACTATAAAATTCCAAATTATTCAATTAAACATATGCGGAAAATATTTACTAATACCTTTGTTTTAATTGCTAATTGGCTGTATTTATAATTTCTTTCTTTGCCTAGAACTTTGTTGACTATCTTGAAAAGTTAAATTTTGTAAACCAAGACTAAAAACAGCGATGTTACTTGAAAGCTATTTTATTGCCTGATGACGATCTTACATATATATTATATATAATACATATTTCT